TCCTAGACAAATGGAAATAAAAACAAAAAGAAACAAAGGGGATCTAATGAAACTTAAAAGCTTTTGCACAGCAAAAGAAACCATAAACAAGACCAAAAGAGAACCCTCAGAATGGGAGATAATATTTGCAAATGAAGCAACTGACAAAGGATTAATCTCCAAATCTCCAAAATATACAAGCAGCTTATGCAGCTCAATATCAAAAAAACAAACAATCCAATCCAAAAATGGGCAGATGATCTAAACAGACATTTCTCCAAAGAAGATATACAGATTGCCAACAAACACGTGAAAGGATGCTCAACATCACTAATCATTACAGAAATGCAAATCAAAACTACAATGAGGTATCACCTCACACCAGTCAGAATGGCCATCATCAAAAAATCTACAAACAATAAATGCTGGAGAGGGTGTGGAGTAAAGGGAACCCACTTGCACTGTCGGTGGGAATGTAAACTGATACAGCCACTATGGAGAACAGTATGGAGGTCCCTTAAAAAACTAAAAATAGAACTACCATATGACCCAGGAATCCCACAATTGGGCATATACCCTGAGAAAACCATAATTCAAAAAGAGTCATGCACCACAATGTTCATTGCAGCACTATTTACAATAAGCAGGACATGGAAGCAACCTAAGTGTCCATCAACAGGTGAATGAATAAAGAAGATGTGGTACATATATACAATGGTATATTACTCAGCCATAAAAAGAAATGAAATTGAGTTTTTTGTAGTGAGGTGGATGGACCTAGAGTCTGTCATACAGAGTGAAGCAAGTCAGAATAAGCAAAACAAATACCATATGCTAACACATATATATGGAATCTAAAAAAAAAAAAAAAAAGGTTCTGAAGAACCTAGGGGCAGGACAGGAATAAAGATGCAGACGTAGAAAATGGACTTGAGGATACGGGGAGGGGGAAGGGTAAGATGGGAAGAAGTGAGAGAGTGGCACTGACATATATACACTACCAAATGCAAAACAGATAGCTAGTGGGAAGCAGCCGCATGGCACAGGGAGATCAGCTCCTTGCTTTGTGACCACCTAGAGGGGTGGGATAGGGAGGGTGGGAGGGAGACGCAAGAGGGAGGGTATATGGGGATATATGTATACGTACAGCTGATTCACTTTGCTATACAGCAGAAACTAACACAATATTGTAAAGCAATTGTACCCCAATAAAGATATTTTTTAAAATATGTCTGAGAGAAAATGTGTGAGCTCATTATGAAAAAGACTAAAATGATACAGAGGAACACACAATAAGATATGAACCAAAGAAAAAGCATTCCATGTCCTTGGACAGGATGACTCAACATCATAAAAATGTCAATTCTCCCTAAATTAACCTACAATTTTCACACTAGTCTAATAAAGATGTCAGCCTCATTTTGTCAGAATAATCAAGCTGAGTCAAAAGTTCATGTGGGAAAATAAACAAGCAAAAATAGCCAAGAGAAGTCTGCAACAGAAGAGTAATAGAGAGGGATCAGTCTCCAAGCATTAACCCATTACAGAACTTCAGTAATTACAACAGTGTGACACTGGCACATGGATAAACAGAGAAATCATGGAACAGAATATGAAGTCCAGGAATAGACATACATTAATATATGGCATTTTAGAAAATGTGGCATTTCAAATAGGTGGGGAAAAGGTGGACTATTTAATAAACAGTGCTGAGAAAAATGGATCAGGGAAAAGAAAAAGAAAATCTGATTCCATTCCTGACAGCTAGTAATAGGATAAATTCCAAACGTATTACATTTTTAACTGTTAAAAAAAAAAAATCCCAGGGGAAACCATAGAAAATGGAAGGCCTTTCTATTTATGACATGAATCTCAAAAGCTATAAAAGTAAAAACTGATAAACTCAATTACAGGTTTAAAAAATGTGCATGGTAAAAAGTACAACAAGCAAATTCAAAAGGCAAATATCAAATTGAGAGAAAAAAATGTGAATTGATATCACAAACAAAAGGTTAATCTCACTAATTATAAAGAGTTCCTAGAAATCAATGAGAAAAAGAATCCAATGAGAAAAATGGGCAAAAATATTGACAGTTCACAGAAAAGGAAATACAAATTGTCCTTCAATACACATAAAGAAGCTCACTTATAATAAGAAAATTAAACCATTTTCACCTATCAGATTGGCAGAGACTGAAGTTCAATAATTCACTATTTTAGGGAATTGGGTAGGGAAACAGGTCTTCTCTTACTTGCTGGTGAGAGTGTAAACTGGTACCACTTCTATAAAGGGCAATTTGATTCTGTTCACCAAGCTCAAAAATACTATACCCTTTTAGAAATATATTCTAAGATGTATATGTTTGTGATATGATGTATGCACAAGGTTATTTATTGTGGCACTATATGTAATAACAATGTAATAACAAAAGAATGGAAGCAGTCTAAATGTCTATTAACGTCCATCAATATACGAATATAGTACATCTATACAATGGAAGCCTATGGAGCCATACAAAAGAATGAAGAAGATCTTTACTCACTGACTGTTAGAGAATCATCTCCCAGATCACTGGAGGAAAGGTGCACACAGGCGCACAGAGATAACTCTGAAAAGATACACAGGAAACTGATATGGCTGGCTGTGTTGGTGAAGGGCAACTGGACGGCTGGGGAACAGAGTGTGAAGGATACTTTTTATTAAGTACCTTTTTACGTCTTTTGCATTTTTAAAATCTATGGGGGACGACATAGGCCTTGTGAGTCATAAGTACAAAATGAACTGTAGAGATAGTAAGTAGTAAAAGAAATAAATACAATAGAGATAATGAGGTAAAGTTAGCTTTCAACCTTTTCCTCCTATGTCCTTCCCCCAAAATGCACACTTCTTCCTCTAATTACAATTTTGCTTGCTTTCACTGGCCTCTACCCTTATCCTCAGACCCTACTGTTTCATTTATCTTAAGAGGTTATCAGTGTTTCCAATAATTTTCCAATCAAAATTATATAAGTACATCTCAATTTCAATTTGCACTATGTGCAGTTCTAGAACATGGACTCCATAGAAGCCACTGAGAGTTTGGAGGCATATCAAAATAGCACAAAAAGGTTAAAATCAATCATCTGAGGCAATCATAAGAGAACAAACACATCTTTTGGAAGGTACTTAAAAAAAACAGTGGTTAAAATAAAATCTTGCCTGTTATTAGCAAAAAGTATTGTAGCCCATTCTAATAATATTTGTTTGGAGAATTAAAGATCTCATCTCCTGACATTCTTAGCTGTTACAAGCACACTAAAGAAGATAAGCTTTTAGATAAAATATAAATTAGTAAAGTCACATACCTAATAACCATGATATCCATGGAGATGCACAATCCCATCTATTGGGATATGAGAAAATATTAAAATTTCCATTTCTATTATTTAATCTTAACCTTATAATACTGTATAAAGTAGTATATTAATATATAATTTATAAATAATAAATAGGCATGCATAAATTCTATTGCAGGCTCAGTTTTTTTTTTTTTTTTTGGCTCAGTCTTTTTTATCCATAGAGTGTAATCAAAATGTTTGGTAACCATTGCCAAATGATGATTTCTTTCTCACATATATAAGAAGAAATCAAATGCACTATAGAATATTTTATCTGAGCACAGCAAGAAGCAGCAGCCATAAACTATGAATTTCTAAGCGAAATACTGTTGAATTAATTTGGTACAGCACTTAGCATAATGTTATCTAAAGAGAGATTACTAACACATAATAGAATTTTGAAGTTAGATATCACCTATTTCAAATGTCATTTCAAACATGAGGTAACTACAGGCCGGAGAGAATAAATAACGTTCTCTGTGTCATACGGCTGACTCGTAGTGACAGAGCTAGGTACAGATCACAAATTTCCCAAAAGTCTGTCTTTCTACTACACAACACACGGAGATATAGATTTATTTTATTTATTTATTTATTTATTTATTTATTTTAGGAAAAGGGGATGGTCTTAGAAATTAAGCAGCAGGCAATCTAGTATTCTCACTACTTTATTTTCTCCTATTTAACCATATCTTTATTTTTGTCTTCTTTTTAGTCTACCCAAAATCACATCACCGTTTTAGAAAGGTGAAGAGTGAATTTCTTTTTATCATGTTAATTTTTTAAGCCATTCTAAAGGAGAAAAGTTCAAACCTGAAATTAATCCTACTTTCGCCCATCTCCTCTAACAGAAACAACCTCTGAATTCTAAATGCCTTCGTTCTTACCAATAATCCTCTGAGAACAACCCAGCACAAGAAACATATGCCCAACCCTACCCGAAAGAAAGGAAAGGTGGGATGAAAAATGCTACAGCGAAATTAAAAGTGTTTATGCAGGTAATTCAAACCCAGTTTTAATACCTGTCTTATATTCGTGTGGTCCCTTCACATTATGTACAGGTAGCATTTAAGAAATTTGATTCTATCTTCACACAGACATTGGGTCTACTATGGCTATGTCACCTAACCAGTTTTGTCATGTATTGGGAAACTGATACCGTGTTGGGTCGGGAATAGCAAATGGCATAATGCAGATAATCGGTTAGCAAAGTGTCTAGCATACAGTCAGGCACAAACTACTTAACTCTTTTTAAGTCAAACACCTCCAACCTTTTTAAGTCAAACTCACAAACAGGTGAAGTGACATGCCCGAGGTCTCACCTTTCCTGTTAGACAGGACACTTAGAAACCCAGACTTTTCCTCTAAGGAGACTGCGAGTTGAGAAAGTTAGGGAGTTGGCTAAATTCTTAAAAGGACCGGGAGGGAAAAAAAACTGGCCTCCGTCACGGCCAAGGTTTTCGCCACAGAACACCCGTAGGGCAGTCGACCTCCGTCTTTTCCCTCCTCCGAGGCAAGCAAGAACTACATTTCCCAGCGGCCCTCGGGCTGCTTCCGGTGTAGCGCGCCGGCGCTCTGTTTCCGGGCACATCTTTTACGTCAGTTCGTGGAAAGGTTCTACGGCAGAGACCGAGCTCCTAATCATGGGTTCTTTCGTTTCCCAGCCAGTTGAGCCAGTCAAGGACGTTGCGCCTCCTGAGGTCGCCTCCTCCGCCAACCCCGTGCCCGTCATTGCACCCGGAGCGCCGACCCCTCCAGCGGAAGCCCCTCTGTTTAATAACTGCTGGAGCTGTCGCGTGCTCTCCGGGTCCGGGCTGATAGGGGCGGGCGGGTACGTGTACTGGGTGGCACGGAAGCCCATGAAGCTGGGATACCCGCTGGGTCCAGGGAGTATTGCGCAGATGGTCTTCGGCATCAGTGAGAGTTCGGGGCACTACCCTTGGGCTGGGGGAAGAGGGGCGCAGCCACGTGGTGGGGGGCGGGGCGCCCGGGTTGGTCACGTGGCGGTAGGCATTTACCCCCGGGGGTGCGGAGAAAAAGTTGTTGGGAAGCTTTTCTTTCTTTCTTTTTTCTTAAATCACAATTTTTTTTTTTTTTGAGAACTCTTACTGGCCTCAATCTTTTTAATCCTACCAAAAGCTATTAAAGATAGGTATGAATATAGTAGTCCTATTTTCCTGCACAGAGAGTTCGAAGTCGGACACCCAGTATATGACACAGCTAGCCTTTGATTCCCAGGCTTATCTGTTACCAAAACCCATGCTGCTTCTCTAGATTGTGAAGGCCTGAGTCGGGGCACTTGACCTTGGTTTAAGAACTTTGGCTTTGAAGGTAGATTGTAGACATGGGTTCAAAGCCCACATACTAAGGTCTACCATTGGGTACTGTGGCCCACAGTTCTTATTTGTAACAATACTACGTGATTGTCAAGCTGTCTTCCAGTAAAATGTAGGGATATTTTTAGTTCTTCAGACCGAGTGAATAGAGCTTTAAGTTTTCAGATCTCTTACCTTCTTAATTAGATTACCCAGATCAATTCCCTTTTAGTAACTCTCTTGCTTTGGGGAAGTAACAGAATTGTCTTTTCTCTCAACTTTCCTTTCCTGAGCTTCACTTTTCTGTAAGATAGAAATAATGGTAATTGTATCTTCCAGGAGTATTGTGAGGGTTAGTAAGTTGATGTATATGAAAGCACCTGGTAAATTGAGGTACAACATAAAGAATAAAGTACTGTTGTTTTTTCCCTAGGCATTGCTTGCTGGGGTGTAGTCATCCTGTCAGACCCCAAAGGGAAGGCCTCCCGCGCTGGTTGAAATACCACCATTGAATGTGTCATCTCTCGGCGTCCCCATGACACACAGAGCAAGCATGCGGCGTATGGATGTTCTGGACAGACGCATGGACATTGGCAGACTTCAGTCCTGCAGATACTATAAGACTGAAGAGACAAACATAGGTTGTCATTCATTGGCCATGAGTGTTTGTGGCCTTTGCAGGTTCCACAGGGACCAATAAATCCCTCAGAGAAGAGGTTCTTTGTGTTATTTGAGGAAGGAGGGTAAAATTTTTTAAAAATATAGAGGAAATGATAAACCAAATGAGAAAGTGAGCTAAAATTATTTTAAATAGTTCTTTCTACTTCTCCTGTGGTTGGGTCAACACCTACTATCCACCTCATCCTGGATAGGCATCATGCAATAGGCAGAAGTACATAAAACATTTATCTGTGTACTGCTCATACTCCGCAAGGCATTGTCAGATCCATGACCCTTGTGAGAGTTTCCCAGCTACTCTGAGGAGGTTATTTCATTGGTGGTAAGTGAACCTTAAAAAACAGAGTCCTAGTGATTTTCCCAGGGTCATTCAGCAAGTCAGTGATAAGAGTTAGGACTTGTTCTTGTCTTTCAGAACTAGGATTGTTCCTAGTTCTGAGGCAAGAATTACCTTTATGAAACAATTAGATAATCATAAAAATCAGCATAAGATAAAAAGCTCAAGCACCAGAATATGTGAGAGAAATTCAAAGTCTTTTGTGCTTTGTGTGTGGGGTGAGAGGGGTGTGTGTGTGTGGGGCGGGGGGGGCGGCTGGTTCTTCTTCCACAAGCACAGGAAAGGTTTCTGTGATGAAACTGAGTTGCTTTTGAGAGAACTTAATATTAGACACTTTCTTTTTAAGAGAAGTCTGCTTCCAACCAGTTTTTTAATTTCTGAATTACTATGGCTTCTCTATAAAGTTACATGTAGCTATTTTTCAGAGCAGAAAGGTACTCTTAAATTTAACTGCCAGTCACAACGTGTAAATTTTGAATGATAGGTTGAGTAAGTAGAGTACCTTTAGGCCTGTTTTTCTAATATTGTAAAGAAGGGCCCAAGTCTTTTAAGCCTCACAAATGACTATAAGTCTCTTGTATTGTCTACACCAGAATTCATGGCATGGATGGTTATATATCTGTGCAATTGAGAAGACACTGCAACATAAAGTAGACAACAAAGTATTTAAGTGAAATGTACAATTCAGTCATGTGATGTTAGTGAATATAGAAGTTTTAAATTAGAAGGGACCAGAGAGGACCCAAAGCAGGTTACTTCCTTGAGGGCCCATGACACGTAGACAAGTTACTACCTGCTTTAAAAGGCAAGCCATTCTATTGATGTACAGCTGTAGTCCTAACATTTTCTTAGTTTAAACCCAAATTATGTAACTTGCTGGTCTTGGCTTGACTTACTGGATACATAGAATAACTCTTATAACTTGTATATTGTAATATAATTGTAACATCTTTCCCAGAATTTGTACTAGTACGAGTCTTTAACCAAGTGAGAGCTTTTTCCAGATAAACTTGCCCACTCATCAGATATATTGCCAAAGTATGTTTGGTTCTTCCCAACTTGGAGTCGCTTAACTAGGTGTGAGCAAAGTATTGTTCTACCATGTCTATAGGCAGTTGGGAATAATGCTCCCCTCCCCCCCAAAAAATAGAACTTGTAGTTAAAAACTGTTTCATTTTGTTTTTATTTTGAGGTGTATTCCGAAATTTGCTTTGATTTCTGCTGGTAAGTCAGAGGTCCTAGTTTGTTTTAGGGATGACTTCAGAGAGAAAAGAGACATTGCCTTAGTCCTGCAATGCAGGAAGTGCATTTAGTGCCCCTATTTTCCCTTTTTTGGGGGATGAAGTGGGGTGAGCAGGACAAACAGGCTCAAGAACCAAGGGACTATTAGTAATTTAAGAACACCAGCTTAATTATGATTTATGGGCTTTAGAATCTCTTTACAGCATGGAAATGAGAGTTTATAGTTACCTTTAGCAAAGAAAGGAGAAAAAAGTACAAAAATAGGTAATTTGAAATGAACTTAGAGATTTCCCTGGAACACAGATCAAAACATGAGTATACATTCAAATATTGACGTTTTTCATGATGTCCAAGATACCTATTAGCATAACCTTTACACAGTAAAAACTTTGATATCTCCAGATGATCAAGAAACCATTACACCATCTCTTGTTGCCTTTGTGTATTGCACTGAGTAATCTAGAATCCGGTGACCAACTAAGAATATGTCTGAACATATTAAAAGACCTGAATATAGGTTGATCTTTAGGATCTTGCTGTGTGTTGGGGGAGAGGTAAGGGGTCTCTTCTTTTCCTAGGCCAATTGCTGGGCAGCTGTTGCTTGCAGCACTGGTGTAGGCCAAATGCAGATCAATCTAAAACGTTCTGGAGTTTCACCTGACCAGGACCAATTGCAGAGACAGCTGTTGCTGGCAGCCCTAGAGGTTAAGCATTTCAGCCATGATTTGTACTTCACCGCCACCCTTAGCTTAGCATTTGCCCCTTGCTCCTTTTTATTACTGGTTTCTCAGCCTGGCTGTGTCTGAATTAGGGGCCTCTTGAATGATGCCACTTGATGTGACACTGTGAAATATGTTGCTCCTGAATTAAATATATGTTCAGGGCAAGCATATGTTCAAGTACCCCCTCAAACCAGGCTTGACCTCAACTGATGTGTTGCCAGGACTACATTGATCAAAATGACACTTCTCAAATCTTGAAGTGAGGAATAGTAAGCAATTTTGAGTTGAAAAGCTTTGTGTGTGTGTGTGTGTGTGTGTGTGTGTGTGTGTGTGTGTGTGTGACAGATAAATCCTTGCCTTGACCCAAAGATTATTTAGGTGTTATGAGCAAAGAGTCAGAGGTGAAAGACCTATAATTATACATCATTCAGAGGTATCCTGAGAGCCTGGAGAAAAAATATGTCACTCTTCTAAATGCATGTCTCTTAGCCTTTGAGATAATTCAGCAACTTGTCATTCAAAGGTAAATGGAATGTAGAGAAATAGTCAAAAGGGCAAATGTTAAATGCAGCAAATGCCACTAAAAACCACTGCTCAGTCCTGTGACTAAACTTGCATATGCTTCAGGAGTGTGGTAGACAGGATTCTTAAAATGGTCCCCCAAGGTTCCCAACCCCTGGGTGAAAATATACCTTCTCCCAGTTATTCAAACACCATTCTAGGTCCTGCTGTGAAGGAAATGTGCAGATGTAATTAAGGTCCCAGGTCAGCTGATCTTAAGATAAGATTATCTACAATGGGCTAATCACATGAGCCCATTAAATCTCAGTCCAGAGGTCAGAGACTTGAGAAGCCAAAGACTCCTCCAAAGCAGGAGGGGGAGTCAGTGCATGGGAAGTGCTTTGGAGGCTGGAGGAAAGCAAACATCTACACTGAGAATTTCCTGTGGGGGCCACATGACAAGGAATGGCGGGCAGCCTGGAGTGCTGAGTGATCACCAGCCAACAACTGAAAGGGAAACGTTCTGCAACTGGACAGAAATGAATCCTGACAACCACCTGTGAGCTTAGAAGAGGGCCTGTGAGAACCAAGAACCGCAGCCCCGGCCAACACCTTGGTTTCAGCCCAGTGAGACCCTAAGCAAAGTATCTATGCTGTGCAACTGGAGATGATAAATTTGAGTTGTTTTAAGCTGTCAAGTTTGTGGTAAGTTGTTACACAGCATAGGCAATGAATACAAGGAATCAGAAGTGTTTTGAGGTATCACAGTCATAGCGGAACAGAGCAGAACCCTGTGGTCCCCTCCCCCCAAGTACAAAGGCCCCTCTATGTCCCCTGCCTCTTGTTTGTAGGAGAGCTGAAGTCTCCCCGGTTTCCCAGAGTCATAAAAGAGCACTACACTCAAGCAGTTAATGATTAGGACAATAGAGTCATAGACTCAGTGTCTGATGAAAGAATGGGATTAACACTATTGCTCATAATAATATATATCTTTGTGGGCATTAGAATAATTGTAGCTTGGTCTGCCCATATATGTAAGCAAGCAACTAAAATTGTCAGCAAAGAGATGCTGCAGACCCACGTCAAGATCTTCCACTCTGAAAATAACAACACCCTATGTCAGCATGAAGAAGTTACAGAAGATGGATCTTCACCCCTAATCTCATAGAAATGGAATGATGTCTCACAAGTGGGGATTTGTAAGCAGCTCTTTTGCCCATTTCCTGTAGTCTATTTCTATTCCCCATAAACCTTAATTATAAAAAGGGGATCACTAGGTAACATTTAACCTAACTCTTGACTTCTCCTCTACTGAATGTACACAATGCCCTGCTTGACCTGTTGATTCCTTTCCTGGATTAAAAGGAGTAAGAATGAAAGATTAAGTAGTTACAGAATGACTGACTCTCTACCCCTAGCTTCCCCCTTAGCAAATTTGCAGGCCAACCAAGCAGGCAAGAGAGCATCCAAAGGAAGATCAGGAGAAGTCAGCAGGTCTGCACACAATGGAAAAATGATGAAGAACCTGATCTCCTACTCTGATGATTAACTGAGGTTGTTTCCCCTTTTTCCCTTTGAAAATTGTCATGGCTGAACAGAATGTTTGGAGTTGGTCTCCAGACATGAGTCCACCTCCTCCCCAAATTGCCAGCTCTTCTGAATAAAGCACCTTTTCTTTCTACTGACACTTGCCCCTCAGTTATTGGCTTTTGAGCAGCGAACAGCTGAACCTGAGTTCGGTAACGAGTAGGCAGCACGCCAGACCAAATACATATCCCCATTCTGGGTACTCAGGAAGTAGCAAGAAGGGACCATCTGAATAGCATTTCTCTTTGTATTGTTAGTAATGGTCTTCACTTGTCCTTTTACTAGTGGTTTTCTTGGAGAGTTCGTATTTTCCGTTTTCTAGTAAAATTGTTCCACTGTTAAATATAACAAAAATTACAGCACCCTTTTTATGTGCCAAGCATTATGCTTTGCAGGAACTGTTTACTCCTCTCAGCAACCCCGTTTTACAG